ACGGAAACAGATCCAGTTTCCGAAACGTCGTGTTTTTATTTGTTATCTTAAAAACCAGAACGATGGATAAAGTCCAAAATCCTAACATATCAGTGTGTTATACACCATCGTCAGAATCCTATAGTAACTACTTTCTTATTCATATCCATTTTTCTCGAGGCATATGAATACATATTTTAATATCACTCAAAGTCACTTTGATAACTGGTTCTTAGAATCTGTGATAATAAATTAAAATACATATTTTGTTTAGAATTCATTGATGTGTTTCCTTATAACCTATTCGAATTATTTAAAAAATAGTGACATATTTATTTTAAAATATAATCTGTATTATGACCCAATGGTCGGTCACGGTAGCCGAGAGGCCTAAGGTATGAAGCCGGGATCGTGGTTTCGAATCCCACTCAGAGCATAGATGTCCAGTGTTTGTGGGTATGTGCCTTTATCTGTGTTTGTGTACAGCCTTGCGACGAGCTGATCACCCTCCCATGGAGTCCTACCGAATGTCTAAGATCTAGTAAACCGAAATGAAACGGAGAGTTTTATGGTGGTAGGCCAAGTCAAAAATTGGGGCATTGGCGCAAGAAGATGAACTGAACAGAGTTCTTTATGTAATTAAACTTTTCCCTATATCAGGGAGAAGAGAGAACTAAGTTGAAACGACTATACTGTATAATAACAACTAAGTGACCCAGTGAGTATTTCTTGTTAATACGAGCTGATATCTGATTTCTCTTTTTCAGATAAATCTCCAAACGATCACCATAAGGATCGCAATGATCCTGGATCATACCACCAAGAGTCAAACGAGATCATGGACATGGCGGATTCAGAGAAAGTTACCGGAGATAGAGGTGTGAAAACCATAGAAATTCACAACCTCCATATTAAATTTGATGTTCCTTGTAGTTGTTTTCCAAAACCTTTATTAGTATTCTACATAATTTACTTGCACCCCTCATTTGAGAAGGTATTCAGCTTACTATAACTTTACAGTTATGAGAAGAATATAGTTAAGAAAACAAAGAAAGTTAAGAAACAAATCAAACAAACAAATAAAAAAACGCTTGGTTTGTTTCTTTCTTTCTTTACTCTTATTTCCACACGCGGCGGTATATTTGAAGGTTTCAGCAAGTCTACCACAGTCACGTGTACACAATAATGTACCATTTTCCAGAATCATAAGCATACTTGCACGATTCATATATATGTAATCGTTTCTGAAGAGGGTTTTCCGCGTGTAATCAATGTCGGTTTTGTCTCTCTCTTAACTTTTTTTTTTTCAAATTTTATCCTCATCAGTGCCTAGGAATGCAGCATGGCGTAGAATCGAGTGTTTACATTCTATAATACTCTCGATGTTGGAACTATTGTGATAAAGGGTGATATTCCTTTTTTCTAATTTTTCTTAACGTTTGAGGCATTTCACTTCCTGCAATCATTGCCTGTGTTTCAGCAGCCTTAATTTTTACCCAGATATCTCCATTCTCGCCCAAAATTAGGGTACACGACAACTTTAGTTGGTTGAGGCACTATGCTATAAGTCGGAAGGTAGCGGGTTCGAGTCCCGATAAGGTGGATCTCTTTAAGTTACCTAATCCTCCCAGTCGCATTTTTGCTATGGTTTAGACTCATCCTCTAACATAAATGAGTATAATTAATCTTTCTGGGGGTGAAGGGCGATTGGGGCGTAAGGCTGACAACTTCACCGCCATCTCTGATCTGACTCTTTAGAAAATGTGGGAGCCTCGACGTCTCACAACCTTATAGGCCTCCACTGACTCTTGCAGAGATAGCTTTACCTTTAAAGCGGAGGCAGTAGCGTTGTTGGTTCAGGCACTATGCTACAAGCCAGAAGGTCGCGGGTTCGATCTCCAATGATGTCACTGGATTTTTCAATTGACCTAATGTTTCTAGCCGCACTATGGTCTTGGGATATAACAGAAATGAATACGAGGAAATGAATACTTCGGCCGACGCTTAAGGCTGACAACCTTCCCGCCATCTGTGAGTCAGTTGTCTAGAGAAAATATGGAAGCCTCGACGTGTCACAACTCTACGGCCCTTCATGGCCTGTTACAGGAACAGCTTTTTTACCTTATATGGTCGCCAAATCGCGACAGGCACCTAAGAATTCGTATGTAATCCGATAATTCTGCCAAATTTCGTTTTTAAGAATATAACTTATTATGCATTCGATTCGTCGATGCTTTGATGGGAGTATCTGCGAAAACAATGTAGAAATCTCGAACGTATCTAATTCTTATGTTATTAAACTAAACACGAGGTTTTGTTTTGCAAAATTAATGGAACTGGACCGGACTAATATTAACCAATCACAGATTTATCTGGATATAGTTCAATTTTGGATAAATGCGACCGCAGTTGTAAGGACAAGTATTCAGTTGACATTATAATATTATTATTGTATATAATTATATATCTCGACCTTTTGACCTCATACACGTATTACACTCGACATTAATTGTTAAAGAAGAAGATAATCATCAAGAGTAACATAACTTTTACTAAAATTTCGAGTCTCTAAAATCATCGCCTTACAGATTTCAGTGCTATAGGACGAACTTCAGAGGCTTAAATAATAAGAGATGCTTACGTATATACTTAAAATAATATCCAGAGTTCATAAAATACGGTACAAGTTTCCTCTAAGTTCAGTAAGAAGCTGTGGTATTTGTACTAGTAATAATGAGATGTATAAGGCTTACGGAATAATTATAATAATTATACAAGTTGTGCCTTACTGAGCTTACTTTTGTTCCTTTTTCAGGAGGTGCTGCTGATCTGAAACTTCGAGGTGGACTTCGGGATACAGAAAAGTCATCTTCTTCAGCTCTTAAAACTTCAGTCGACTTCCAAATGTTTATTATATTCACAGTCGCCATTTTGCCGTCAAATATTCGGACACTTTTCGCAGTATGAATGCGTAAGAACTCCTTAAGTGAATGAACCGATGGATGAATGGATATGAAGCTTGCTTTGTGGTTGTGTTAAGGTACACATCTTCACATGTTACGTGTACAAGGGATTAATGAGTTACAAATATTCTGAAATAAATTTCTCTCGTCTTGTTTCCAGAAGAATACTTCCGTTTGTTTTCTCAGAAAGTCGTTTAATTTAATTTAAGTTCTGTGATTACTTTGTACATTGACGTTTTATTTGTAAAATGACTGTGGTCTGAGGAAGGGAAATTTTAGCACTGATAAAAATAGAAGTCAAATACAAAGAATGTAAAGAATATAATTAACGAACTTGTTTGGTGTCTCGCGATATAGAAGCTATGTAATTGAATTTCTTATTACTGGAAACACTTTCAAACGCTAAAGTTGTGTAGAGTTATATTTTAGTAAATTACTACAGTTTGAAAATAAATTATGCATTTTTTTATCTTCAATTTAGTAGATAAGTGATGTAAAGTCGAATGGAATATTTCAAATTAACTGTGAATAATTACATTTTGACATAAGGAAGGAAGTGACTGTAAAGTTTTTAGATACTGTTGTGGCCTAGTTTCATAAACACAGATGACAGATATTCTAACCCAGAATGCGCAACATATGACAAATTAGTAGTAACAATTTCAGTGATCCATTGTTTTGGTTTAGGTTTCTCTCAAGTTATGTTAAGACGTGTGAAACACAGCCTACTCTGTAACTGTCAAACGAAGCCAGATGTTGAAACAATTTCATAATATGTTACGAAACTAATTAATTCCATGAAGAGTAGCCTTTCTTGAGAAGACGATGGTCGCTCACTTAGTAAAATTTTCCCTGCAATTCATGGAATTCAAAGGTTCATTGTCCTGTGCACAAAATTCCGACAATGGATCTTCCATCGATGAAATGAATCCAGTTCACACTTACATATCATGTTCCAAAAATTAGTTTTGATATTATCCTTCCACATACGAGTATGCCTTGGTTCTCTGAGTGCAATTTTCCTTTCGGATTATTTAACCGAAACTTTGTACGCACTTCTCATCTCCCCACTCTTGCGTGATACATGAATTTCTCGTATCATCCTCTTTGATTCGATAGCTCGCATAATATACTGTTAAGAGCATAAATTATGCACCTCAACATAGTTTCCTTGCAGACCATTCTTACCACTACCACTACTACTACTACTACTACTACTACTACTACTACTACTACTACTACTACTACTACTACT